GAAAGAAGGCAGGAAGGGAAGGAAGGAAGGGAAGAAATGGGACTAAAGGCATGCGAATGATGACAGCCATTTAACTCTTAGGGAAACCATCACAACAGCAGCAGCAGCAGCAGCAAGAACAACAACAACAGCCATCAAGCCACCGCATAGGGTTCTGTCCATAAGAGAAGGAAAAACTCAGCGACCGGTAAGTGGGATCCTTGTATGTATTTGCACCGACATGTGTGTGCACTGCAGAGGTGGAGAGATGCAGTACCTCATTGGGTTTTGCTTGTGTCTGATGATGTGATGGTGTCTGGTTGGGAGCAGCTCTGAGCTCTCCAACCCTTGGGCTGTCATGCTTAACCTCCATCCCGGTGAAGGGAATGACTTCCTACCTTTGTCATTGGTTGGTGTGTGTGTGTGGATGTGGAAGAAACCCATTAGACCTACTTGCAAGTAATTGGATTTAGGAGGAGGCGATCTAGACGCCCTTCCCTCCCTTGGCTTCCTGGGCTCTTGATATATGCTGTTGGTGCCATGGCTGTGGCCTAAACTGGTGTGTGCGTAAAGGCCTTTTAATAACCAAACGATGCTTATTAGAACCACATGGTCCCCGAAATGTCTTCTCCTGGTAGTATTTCGCTTTCTCTGCTCAAGGTTTTGAAGCCTGGGTGCCTGTTTCCTCCTGTCGTTGGGAGAAATGAATCTCTTTTTCCGGGGTCTTGGGTTATAAAATGTTATTTGTTGTGCCTTTTGTAAAAACTCCACAGCCTTCTGCAACAATCACCTCTCTGTCTCTCAGGTCTGAGGATCGCCCATACAAAACACATTTTAAGGTATCGATTTTGTCTTTAAATCTGACGTATGGCCGTCGTTCATAAACTCCCAACATTTGAGTAGATAGAAAAAGGACGATTGATATTCTCGGTATTTTGCAGACTAAACGGAAGGAAATGAATGGCTGCTTTTCTCTATAATATCACCATAGACCAGATATTGTAGTGAGAAGAGGCGAGTTATTGACATACAGGTTTGGGGAAGGGAAAAAAAAGAATAGATTCTTGGCAAACACACAGGAGCAAAATCCGATTATATGAGAGTTGCGTTGGCCTCTGGCATTGGTTTTAATTCTTGAAGAGGGGTCATAAACGCTGTAGTAAATGTGAAAATTGAAAACCACAAATTTGACACAGCACTATAAATCATATATATTTATTAAGGTGGCTGCTGGGGCCATAATAAAAACAATGGAAAGGAACTTTGTAGGCATTCCAGGATAGATCTTTACAAGCACACAACAACTTAATTCTAATCATCATTATTATCATCATTGCCAAGCTATTTTTTTCCCCAGCACAGAGACAGAGGGAAGAATGAGAGGGGAAAGTCGCAGGCGAGAGAATATAAGGAGTCAAAGGTCTTAAGACGACAACTGCCGTCACAACAGTAATAATACACAGGCAATATACCGATTTACATTCCTTTCCATTTATTGAGAGGGGCTGAGAGGCTGGGATGAGCTAGCAGAGACTGCGGAAAGGGATATAATCAGGATGTCCTGAATTAGTAGCCAAAGATGTGCTGTTGCTGCTGTTTTCAAGCAACAAAAGCAACAACTGAGGTGCATCCGAAGAAGATGAATCTTCTTACAAATCTTACAAAAATTAGGAATATTAATATTATAATTGAAGTGTATCTTTAACACAGGGGAAGCTGTTTTCCATTGGTTTTGTAGGCTGTGGTTCTGGGATGTGTGCAGTTGCCTGTGTCACTTAAGCCTCGCATTTCCATTGTGTTGAAAAGTGAGTTTTATTTATAGTTTGTTTGCTGGCTCAGAATGCCACCAATATTTCTGCATATCCCTTCCCCTATTCAATTTCCTTATGCTACAATCTTGTACCAATTTATATGCTACCAAACAGTATTGAACTGTATGGGTCTTACTACTGGGTGAATATGTGCTGTACTATTAACTTCGGTTGGTTCTAGTGAAATCTACACAAGTCTATTATCTTTTTCAACAATAAAAAATAATCTGCTCTGGGCAAAAAACACTTCTGAGTGGAGTAACGCAGAAAAGGTTCAAAGCAACCAAAAGGGCACAATGCTTAAAATATATATCAGTTCTTGGTGAAGTTTTAAAGCTGTATTATAGAAACACAGATCCGGGGGGAAAGTCTTTGTATTTTGGAGAAGAAAAGTGCAAAAAGGGGTTTTGATGGAGCAAAAAATTGTATCTAATTATTATTTATTATTACCTCTATATTGAATCAAAATGGCATCTACTATGTGTTATCTCTTCGTGTTTCATGCATATTTTTTGTGTGTATTTGCACTCACATAATCAAGCAATGAGCGAAAGAGTGTGTGTCCACCTTTCAAGGACGCCTCTGTGTTGGAGCTGTCCTGCAGAGTCCCACCAAGTGACTTTCCTTGAGCTTATGGAGCCCAATTTCCTTGAGCTTTAAAACAATTTCACCATTGCCCCTTCATCGTTTGGTTGAATGGAATGAGTAGTAATTTGGGAAAGGCCGGTTTGAATGGGCCGTCTGTGGAGATGTTGTTCTGATCTGTTTCTGCTGGGATTGTGTCCGGTGGTTGTGTCCTTATCACAGAGGGGAATGTGGAGCCCATTGTTTGGGGTGCGTGTGTATCTTTTAGGGAGCAGAAAGAAAGAGAGAAAAACACATGAATGTGTTGATCTCTCAAAAGGCTAGGGATGGCGAGGAGTCGAAAGCCCTTTGTTGTTAATTCGGTGGATCGGATTTATTCGTGGATATGGGTATAATTAGTTTTGGTGATATATGCATATATGTGGGATTTTTCCTCTCCTCTGGCCTTTTAATGCACTGACTGGTTTCAACTTCGGGACAGGCCACGGCCTGTTTTGTTCCATGCCTTCACCGCAACAGCGACTAAAACCGGGATCCGCCCTTGTCTAGATCTGAACCGACCTAATGGAGGGTCTTTCCGAGCCTCTCAAAAGTATCCCTTTTGCAGAGGGATGATTTCTGCTGGAGAGAATGTAGCGCCGTCTGGTCTGGCTTTGGCTTCTGGTTCTGGGTCCCTTTGTTTGGTAAAGTCACCTTGGGAGCCTTGTTAGGTGTGGATCTTCTTATTCCTTCACTTGATCCGACTGAGCTGGTCTGGGGAGCTGGGGAGGATCCCACTTTTTCGATGGGCTCCTTGAATGTAGGCCTTGGTGGGAGCTCGGATTGATGCTACCTACACAATCACTCACCAACACCCTTTGGAGGCCAAGAAGCCTTCCTCTACAATGTGGTTACTAGCGATGGTCTGGGAATGTGTTTGCTTTCCCCTCGGTCTCTGTCCCCTTTGCTTTTAATTGCTGCCTCCCTTTTTGTTGTTTACGTGTTTTGTATACTGCCACCAAGTGACTGAAAGCCGGCAAGCCAACCCCGCCGCGGTGCAGCCTGCTCTCCTTCCGCCCCTCCTTCTCCTCATTCAGGGGAGGAAGAAGACTCAAAGAAACCCCCCACCACACCCACCCCCTTGTTTTCCCCTTCCCCACAACAGGAGAGTTCAAATGCTTGCCCAGGGAAGAGGGTTGTTTAGGACTGGGCGGCCATAAAGGCCGGAATCTGTGAGATGTTTACTACCTTCAAGTTAGGGCCGTCGCTTCCCCTCCCTTTCCTTTTGCTGCCCCATAAACTGCCCCCTCTATTGAGCTCCTGGACGGACAGGGAAGACTTCACAAAGTTGGGTCTTTCAAAGTGGACGGCTGTGTGGAGATGGTATCTATGGATGGGGGGGGGGGGTCCTCTTCGGCGGTTGTTTAAAGGCCTTCGTCGCCAGAACACCCCCTTCCTCCCTCCCTCCCTTTTATTCCCACCAGATTCGGGGTTCACGCCTTAGTAAAAACAGGGGAAGGTGCTTCTGCTTTTTTCCCCTAGACACCCAAACCCACCATCATTCAGCCACACTTTTTAAGCTAAATAATAATAATAATAATAATAATAATAATAATAATAATAATATCACACAGTCCTAGATGCTTGGGAAGTGTTTGACTTTTGATTTTGTGATACAAAATCCAGCATAGAGATCTCGTTTGCTGTGACATACTGTGGTTTTGTGTCAGTCAGGCATGTGGGGGGGGGGGGCTCGAGGGGCTCCAGCCCCCCCACCCCGAAATTCTCATGGTGATTCTCGAAAAGGCCTTAATGGTGCATTATTTAAACTGTTATGTTTATTCATATCATGATCTGATCACCATACTCAATATATCCCATATGCATGGGGGTACTGGGGTAACGATACAAAAGGTTTGCTAGGGTAAACCCTCTTTCGCTCAGACTCAGCCCCCCCCCCCCAATCGAAATCCTGGCTACGGGCCTGGTGTTAGTTAAAATAATAATAATAATAATAATAATAATAATAATAATAATAATACATCACACAGTCTCTGTGTGGCCACACTGGAATAAAAAGATTTTACTTCACCTAGGAGACTGCTTGCTTTCTGTCACCAGCCTTGGGGTGCAGACCAAAGGGGGTTCCCTTCAATAGATGCTTGGGAAGTGTTCGACTTTTGATTTTGTGATAGGAAATCCAGCATAGAGATCTCCTTTGCTGTGACATACCATGGTTTTGTGTCAGAATAATAATAATAATAATACTTTATTTATATTCCGCCCTCTCTTCCCAAAATAATATCTGTATTTAAAGAGCTCCTAAAATATGCAACTGCCCTCCATTAAAGGCTGCGCAAATCGAAAAAGCATTGCCTCTTCCAATATACAGTTTAACTCAGTCGACGCCCCTTTTAAAAACACACCTCATTAAAGCCACTAATGTTGGGCCATAACTTCTTGTTTCTCCTCTCTCAACTTCTCCTTCCCTCCTCCTTCTCCTCCTCTTCTTTCTTCTTTCTCTCAACCCCCTCCTCGTTTTTCTGGAGTCCTGAGATTAATTTTTCCCCCTCCCTCTCCCCCATGTGCAAACAATAAAATCAAATAAGAACTCGTAGATAATGACAACCATTTCTCATCGCTGAATTATTCTTCCCGAACGTATTAAAATCGTATTCTTCTTTGTTTAATCGGCTGGCGGGGCGGGCGTGCGTCTTTGCTTATATCCCTATTTTATGTTGCGCCATAATATCACGCTTTATAATTTTAAGCCGGTTGCCGTTCTCCATGACAACTCGGTGGGTGTGACGTCAGCTCCCTTGAATGTCAAAAGGAAGGAGGGCCACCATTGTGGGGAACATTTCCGTGCCATAAAAAAAAGAAATAAAGAAGAGGAGCCCATCCAAGTCACCCATAAAGTTCTCTAAACTGAACATCCCCTGGTGAAGTTTCCAAAGTTGGGCAAAGCTATTGGGAGACAGCAGACATTGCACAGGAGCCGAGGGGGGAGGCAGAGGAGTTTTAAGTCGACCAGTAAAACACAGACACTGTGTATGTGTCGAAGTATACCCTATTGATAATGGTGCTTGCAACAACAACAACAGGCTAAATACATTCAGGTAGATTTTCTGGTTCCAGGGACTCATCCAGTCCCAAACATTTCCCACTCAAGAGTTGTTGCTTCAGAAGAAATGTCTTTTATCAGTAAGCAAGGTTTAAAAGGGAGGTGATCCTTGCTCGTCATGTAGCTCCGCATCTCAGTCCTGAAGGTCCCCAACTTTGGAAAGGGGGCAGCCCGAGAAACCTAGAATCAAAGAGAAAGCGACAGATAAGGAAACGCATGTAAACACACCGGGCAAAAACCGTTCAGGCACCAGATCTAACCTGGGAAGAGGGGCTTTGGACATACATAACAGACAAGGACGGAATTATCTTGAGTTGAAAATATTCTCCTTGATTTTTAAAAATGCAATCCTACGCTCAAACCACCTCGCCAATTTAGTCAATCTCAGAACTAGCTGTGTTTCGACTATGCTCAGATTTGCCACCCTCCACAAATCCTATGATGTTCTGATTATTGCCTTCTCTTCTGTCCCAAATCCCAAATATCTGTTGCATGTTCTGAAATTGACCCATTTTTAACCATTGGCGATTCCTTCCAGCAATGTTTTCGAATATAAATTTTTCAATATCCATGTTTTAATTTGTGGGGAGTGAGAAAAAAAAACAGATTTCTCCTCAAAGTACTTTGCATGTACTCCGATTTTTCCACAAAAAAATAGGGGAGGGGGTCCCCAGCAATTTACATTAGCTTGTATTTGCCCCAAGAGTGCTAGGAAGAACCAGCAGAGAGAATAATATGGCCGAAAGTCACAGAAATAATAATAATAATAATAATAATAATAATAATAATAATAATAATATATTGTCAAAGGCATTTTTCTAGTTTCCAACAGACTTCACAACTAAGTTCTTGTGGGTTTTTTCGGGCTATATGGCCATGTTCTAGAGGCATTTCTCCTGACGCCTCTAGAACATGGCCATATAGCCCGAAAAAACCCACAAGAACTTAGTGATTCCAGCCATGAAAGCCTTCGACAATACACAGACTTCACAACCTCTGAGGATGCCTGCCATAGATGCAGGCGAAATGTCAGGACAGAATGCTTCTGGAACATGGCCATAAAGCCCGGAAAACTCACAGCAACCCAATAATAATAAAAATAACAATAAAACTTTATTTATACCTCTCCATCATCTCCCATAGAGACTTACAAAATAGGACACAAAGATGCCATAAAATACCCCATACATAAAATAAAATACATCAACGTATGAAAAAATAATACATTGCATAAACCAAGCATATACACTGGATAGAACAACCTCTATCAAAATAGAATGAGTGAAAAGATCCTTGTAATCAATGTAGCAGCCCAGCTGAATGCACATACAATGTGGATAGAAAGTGCTAAGTGATTATAAACTGCTTTTCTCGGTAGTCATGGAACCGGAACAAAACAACCCCAAACAAACCCGGGGTTTCTCCTCACCGGAAGAGAGATTCGCCGTCTCGTCTCCGGCCCTTTTGGAGCTCGTCTTGTTTTGGTTTGGTGGCTTTACAGTGAGGGCTATTGCAGGCCCAAGCGTGGACTTTGTGGGATAGGGACAGAAAGAAAAGTTTTGTTGGGAGGGCCCATTTAAAAAAATAAATTAAATAATGAAACATTTAAATAGCCAGAGTCAGCCCTGAGCGTGGTTAGTGCCATTTCTGTATATCCTGCACAACAATAATTATGGATAAGGTATTTCGTTTTTTGCCAAGGACCTTGGAATAAAGTTTAAGGGCTGTTCGGGCAGAAAGGAAGGGAGCGAAACTTTGCAGACTTCAGATAGTCATGACTGTAATAACAGGAGCAGATCAAAACAGTGCAAAACTATGCGCCAGGAGGAATTGGCCTGTGGCGTTTCATGTGCCTTATAGGTTGAGTTGCATCTTTTGTTAGTACTCTTGTTGTTGTATTGTGGAAAATTTCCCCTGCATCTGTGGCTGGCATCTTCAGATTATTGTTGTTGTTGTTGTTTGGTTGTTTACGGGCAGAGCAGAGGCAGCGTTTGATTAAGAAGCTGCCTCTTAAGGAGCAAAGCGCTCTAAAGAAATAATCACAAGTTGAGGTGCACAAAAGTCACCTCCCAAAAAGGCCAGGAGAACACATATAAAGTGAGACCAGCTGAAATTAGGTGTGCCACGTGCGTTTGCGTGGAACCCATTAAAAATATGATTATGACCTCATTTCTGGACTTCTCTTGTTTCTGGGGCTCCTTGAATAAAATCCCACATTTTCCGAACTGGAATATATGGCAGTGTGGACTCAGATAACCCAGTTCAAAGCAGATAATGTGGGATTTTCTGCCTCGATATTCTGGGTTATGTGGGTGTGTGGAAGGGACCTGGAGATAATGCCTCTAGACCATGGCCATATAGCCCGAAAAAACCTACAACGACCCAGTGATTCCGGCCATGAAAGCCTTCGACAATACATACTCACAAAAAAGTTTGCTCAGCAGCTTTTGTTTGCAAGGGAAGTGAATCATCAAGGAGGATTGTCTTACTTTTTTTGGAAATGTATACATATGGTTATATATATATACACATTACACAAACACACCTCTCACATGCAAAAAACATGCCTGCATGTTGCACTATGTTGTCGAACACATGTACACTGCTGCCATGCTAATTCCCGACCTATAAATTACACACGAATGGGTGCCTCGAGGAGGCAGACAGGAAGGGATTCTGCAACGAGAGAGGAAGGAGCGCGAGCGCGTGTTGCCAACGGGCTGGATGGGTGCGCGCGCCGCCGCCGCCTAGAAAAAAAAGACAAGGGGGGGGCGAGGGTGGAGTCCTCCTTATCAATCTCTCCATGAATAATGCCAAACTTTTTCCACAGCAGAAATGCGGGCTGGCTGGCCCAGCACATGGGCAGTAAACAAACGCATTTGACCCAGGGGCAACGCGGGAGGCATCTCCAAAGCCAACCAGACACAACCTGCCTTTCTTTTATGAATAAGCAGTTTTCTACACCTAGGCAACAGACGGGGTGAGAATTTGTGAAGGGTTTGGGGGCTTTTTTTTGGAGGGGGGAAAGGAGGAGGGTGGGGTCTGCCCTTGGGTCGCAACACAGCGCCTGGTTATTATGAGCCTCGAACAAAACACCTTTCTCCCTGGAAGCAGACGAAGCAACAACAAACGCGCCTGCATTTGCATCCCAGCTCAACACAACAAAACTCAGAAGCTTCCTGACAGCCTTTTTACTGCCGCTGCAAGACCGGAGGGGGGTGGGAAGGGAAAAGAGAGAGAGAGAGAGATCTATGATAAGTCTTGTTTCCTCCTAGCAATTAGTGGGGATAGAAAACACATGTGTTGAGTGTGCATTTTTGAAGCTTTCTTCCAAATCAGTTCATCAATTCGCTAATTACAGCTGAGAGGGAAAGAGTAGATTATTCTCCTCCCTCTCCCTGAACATCCGCGTGGGGCTGAAATCGGGGGTAACAACCCCAAAAGGGGGAGAAACTGTTTATGAGTCCAGGGTATGTTATTGCAGCTTTCTGTGGGCTCTTTAACTCCAGGGGGCAGGGAAGGGGGGTGGGCTGGGAGAGAAAGACCCAACTGCTCTTCAAGAACGACTCCAAGACTTGCGCATATTTCCACTGCTGGTGGAGCAGTTTTAATAAAACATCTGTTCTTGCTTCTGCTATGAGTTTACATAATTGTTTGCAGACCAATTTAAGCAGAAACCGAGTGCTATACATTTCCCCTGTCCATGTTGGCAGCAGAGAGGAGCGGAGAAGTAGTCTCCTCCTTTGGCCACGTTCATTCTCGAAATCTTAATGGTCTACACGCAAACATATATGCACATCGATATGTAAATGTCAAGGACGTGAGATATGGATTGCAACCAAAATATTGCCCTTGGAGGATGCTGAGGGTGGGGTGTAGCTACCTTGGCTTCTTCCTTTCCCATCCCACCAAATGTTCAGAAAGGTTCTGTGCTTTTGCGCCAGCTGTTTTCTCTTCCCTACAACTCCGCCACATTTTGAGGTCTTCTCTTCTGTTTCCAAAAAAAGTCATAAAACACTTTGCCCTCTACACTCCAGCCCCTTCCATACAGTTGAATAAAATCCCACATTTTCTGTTTTGAACTGGAATATATGGCAGTGTGGACTCAGATAATCCAGTTCAAAGCAGATATTGTGGGATTTTCTGCCTTGATATTCTGGGTTATGTGTCTGTGTGGAAGGGCCCTCAATGTCTCTTGGTATTTATTCAGGTCTCTTCACAGCAACGCATGAGACCCTCTCCTTTTTCTCACCTTCCAAGGCTAACTTTTCTATTTGTAATCTCAGAAATGTTAAGATTCCGTGAGGTGGATTATTATATAATTCTGCAAAGAAAAATAAACACTCCAATTTCAGGAAATTAAAACTTCACAACCTCTGAGGATGCTTGCCATAGATGCAGGCGAAACGTCAGGAGAGAATGCTTCTGGAACATGGCCATACAGCCCGAAAAACTCACAACAACCCACATTAAAACCTGCTAGACGTGAAATTCTGTTACAATTGTTGCACTGGAATATTTTATTTTAATGCAGTCTAAACAGAAAAACAAAACTATCTTGAGAGGAGGGGTCATTAGAAAAACACGATCTCTCCTTGAAGGACAAAAAGACAGAAAGAGCACCCTTTTCTCTTTTCACACACATTGTGCATAGAAACCTATATAATATAGAAATAGACAAATACACATACATGTATGCATTCATTCATTCACTCACTCGCTCATTCACTTACGCATATATCTTTAGCTTCACAGGCAGTATCACTACTTCTTCCGAGTAATTCAAATTTAAATTTGTCTATTTGGTTATCTTCTGTACTAACTATCTTCCTACACGTACAGGAACATAGGTGCATTGTTATGTATATTTCCAAGAGTGTAAAGCGGGGGAGGGTTAACTTTCTTGTCTTTCTTCTCACTTCTCATATACACACAAACACACACACACACACATACATATGCACAGTCATTTCCTTTCAGTATCTGTGTATTTTAGCTATGGACTCCAAAACACAATGTGCCAAGTAAATCAGAAAGGGAAGTTGATTATATTTAGCATACTAGGCTCTAATCCCCCATGACATATATACTAGCCTTAAATGTGAAAAAGTTTGGATGTTAACTATGGTAGTCGGGTATGTGTACACATGGAATAGGCAGACACATCTGGGAAGATATTTAACAAACTACACACACTCTTGCTATCTTATGTTTCCTGGTGCCTTTTTTTCCCTCCCCCCCCCCTTTCCTTTAAAACACAAACACAACTTTCCCCCCCTTTAGACTGATATTCATGGAATGCTTAAGGTTACACAAGATGAATACTTCAGGCCTTTTTTTGTCAGTTGTAGTCTCGTTTATGGCTTTATGACTACCATTGATTACTTTGCTTTGTTGCACAGAGGAAAAAGATCATAAAATCTCTGGGCATCTGGGTTCCTGTTGGAGTAGGGGGGCCTGGGGGGTGAGCTCCCCATTTTACTCCTTCCACCAAACCTTTCAAAGGGATCCCACCCCCCAAGAGAAATGTTCAAAGTATGGAGACACCCAGAGAACTCGTACTGAGAAATATTCTACGCTTTCTAGGTGCTGGGGTCTGATTTCATTTTATGGGCCATTCCACACAAATTGGACCTTTAAAATAACTAAACAAAAGCCGCAGCCACCCACTCCTAACATGTACATGGAAATCAGGCCAGGATTTCCTAGCCTTTAATTGAATTTTTAAATAGCAAGTCAATGGAATGATGAAGGGACCTTCCTCTGTTTACAGATCAGCAGGTATATTTTACATTTAAGGAACAATTTATGGCACTGGATTGGAATTAAAATTAGATTAGCTGTCTTCATTTCAATTAGTGTGTCGGTGCAAATCCACCCGAGGAGGCGAATAGAATCCACACTCCAATCTAACTAAATATTTCAAAGGAGAAGTTTTCTAATCACCAACAGTTATCTGGGACCATAAATATTTTTTCCTCCCCCATCCCCCCCTCATCCCCCGCCTCACTTTCACAAAGGTAAACACGAGGTGGTCTCTCTAACAAACACCACTCCAAAAGGGGGGGAAAGTAGTGCTGGATTCAAAGTGGGGAGGGAGTTGACGTTGCAAATGTCAACATTATTTTAGCCATTTCAACTTCAGAAAAATTACCATGAAGGTATTTAGAAACATATCTCCATATACTAGAAGGAGAGACTTAAAATGGACTCTGTCTTGCAAGGCGGGGTGGGGGTGGGGGAATAGAGAGGTCTGAAGAGCCTGCAAAGTTCTTCAGATTCCAGAATATTGGAATTCCACTAAAAGACACCAGTCTCTGTCCAGCTGTCACCCCCTTTTCCCCTTTCCTGGCTTTCAGGATTGTCTGATAAAGAACACAAGCCCTGGATCCCACGTTTATTGACCAACAGTAAATTAGTGGAGAGGAAGGGAATTTATGGTTTAATATTTTATGCACACTTGAGATTTATAGCTATAATTTCTGAGCTATTTGGTTGTTAGATATTAAGCAAGCATTTTTGAAAGAATAAATAGCCTGGTTCCTTTTCTGGGAGAATCTTTACTGCCCCCCCCCCCTTTAATTTTTCTTCATTTTCTGTTTTTCTTTTTAAAGTAAAGGCTTATTTGGACTGTGATTTTGAAGAAAGAAATCTCTTTCTTTCTTCTTTTCCTCCCTTCTTTCCTCCTTTCTTCCTGCTCCCCTCCCCTTTTCAACATTCTTCCCCTCCCAACCCCCCCTTTCCAAGCCATAGTTACTATTTTCCCCCCTCTTTCTAGACCCCCTTATATTTAGAATTTCGAGACTTACTTTCAATGCATACTTAGTTTCAACTGGGGAATCAACACAAGCAAAAGCAATTTTTCCGTGTCTTGACATCTAGCTTCCTATTGGCTGACAACGGGTCAGCTGACTTTGTCATTTTGTCTGTCCTGGAGTGGAGCCGTCCCTATAACAATCTAGTTCAGACTACAAACTGGAGACAGAAATAAATATTAAAGAAATCATACAAGCCAGGTATAGGGGGGAAGCGATGAATTCCTATTTCACAAACCCGTCGCTCTCTTGCCACCTCACCAGTGGTCAAGAGGTGCTGCCCAACGTGGCGCTCAATTCCACTGCCTATGACCCAGTAAGGCATTTTTCAACTTATGGAGCAGCGGTTGCTCAAAACAGGATCTATTCATCTCCTTTCTACTCACCGCAAGATAATGTTGTGTTTAGCTCCAGTCGGGGACCCTATGATTACGGATCTAACGCTTTCTACCAAGAAAAAGACATGCTTTCTAGCTGCAGGCAAAATTCTATGGGACACAATACACAAACTTCCATTGCACAGGATTTTACAAGTGACCAAAACAGGAGCACGTCCCAGGAACAGAAAACTAGCATTCAGATATACCCGTGGATGCAGCGCATGAACTCCCACAGTGGTAAGTTTTACAGCTTGCAGAGATAAATTAAATAAACTGAACCATCTTTACGACCGTCTCCCTCGCAGAACAGGCTCTGCTACTTTTTATGGCCCCATAAAAACAATAATATAGCTTCCTCACAGTTGCCGCTACAGGCCTTTTATTTGTTAAGTTGTTGCAGGCAAATATGGCTTGTTATGCTCTTTCTAATTAAAAGACTTTTGAGAGTGTAACAGATCCATAATAAAGTGCAATCAGCTCTGATTTTTACCCCCCTTGGAAGAAAAAAAATAGGGGGAGGGTGGGTTAAATAGAAGGGATAGGAAAGAGAAGCTGGGTCTTTCCCCTGATTTTGACTTGATTGCCTTGGCGTTTTGGTTTCTCTGTGAGGTGAGGAAAGAGGGGGTTTCTTCTGAAGCGGGGAGGGAATGTAAAAGGGGATGTGTCTGTATTTTATTTTGCAATGCCAGGCTTGAAAACTGGGATTTATGAATATATATATATATATATGTGGAAGGAATGTGTATTCTTTGTCATTAAAGTAACATTGGAGGGAGATGTAATTAGGGTGCTCCCCCCCCCCAAGTCTGCAGAAATAATGCAAAATGAGCACGTTCTGAATCTTTGCAAAGAAGACCAGAACAATCTTTTGAGCAGAAATCCCTTCCACGTGTGATGGAGGGGTTTTAATGAAGGTAGCAAGACAGAAGGGGCAGAATTAAATTGTGTTTGCGAGGAGAGGAGGGGGGAATGTATGACAATGAAGGCAAGAAGATGGAGGCTGGGGTTGGGGAAGTGGATGGATTCCATGGAGGTGTCTCCCCCTTCCTTTCCCTTCCTGGGGTGCCTGTTTGCATGCACTTAACGTTTTGAAACCAACCCGTCCCTCACTCTGTAGCTAACCTTTTTTAGTTTGTGTGTTTTCCGAATCCATAGGGGTCGGCTATGGGGCAGATCGGAGGCGGGGGCGCCAGATCTACTCCCGCTACCAGACCTTGGAGCTGGAGAAAGAGTTCCATTTCAACCGCTACTTGACGCGACGGAGGCGGATCGAGATCGCCAACGCACTCTGCCTCACGGAACGCCAGATCAAGATCTGGTTCCAAAACAGGAGGATGAAATGGAAAAAAGAGAGCAACTTGAGTTCCACCCTGTCTGGGGGAGGTGGCGCTGGAGCCGCCGCCGATAGCTTGGGCGCAAAGGAGGAGAAACGAGAAGAAACAGAGGAGGAAAAACCAAAGGAATGAACACTGGCAGCTCCCTTTGCCCCAGCCTCTTCCCACCTTCCAGTCCCCAACAACACACACGATCCCCCCTTGCTTTCTTTCTCCCCTTCTCCCTTTGACCTCCCCCTTTCCAAAATGTGCTCCTAGCCTTCCTTTGCCTTCCTCTGTTACCACTGCACATTGGGCCACATTATTAAAAGGAGAGAGACAGAGGGAGAAGGGAGGTGGGGAGAGAAATGTGGAAAGGGTAGAGTTCCTCTTCCTCYATCTCCCCTCCCCCCATTTCCCCCACTTTTGGGCACTGATCCCCCCCCCATTTCCTAGCCAGGTTTCAAACCTCTCTGGATGTCCTTCTAATGGTACCCCAAACCCTTCAGCCCCACCCACCCTTTCTCCTTCCTCCGAGGAGCCCAGCAATAGACACCTCTGCATAGAGACTTTATTTAATGCCACAAACCTTCCTCCACTCATCCCACATCTCCCCCCTCTCATCYCACATCCCTAAGCACCCCCTTCATCCCACTTCCCATCTTCCTCTCCCCTTGAAGAAATCTTGGGTTGAAAAAGGCCGAGCACCCTATAGGAGCAGCTTTGGGGAGAAATGTTGGGATCCGCCATGTCAAAAGAGGTTCACTTCCCAAATCATGATAATGATGATGATGGAGATGGTGATGATGATGATAAAGAGACTGGAATTGCCTCTCCCTATGAAAATGCTGTCCCTTTGTACCCCCATCCTTCCTTCCCTCCTTCCTTCCTTCCTCCTTTCCTTCCTTCCTTCCTTCCTTCCTTCCTTCCTTCCTCTCACTCCCACCTTCCTCACCTCCAAGCTATGTCTACCTAAATATAGCATTTTCCAGAGTGAACTAATTGTATTTAAAAAAAACACTACCTGGGGTCATTATGCATACTACAAACTGTGACAGTTCCTGTGTGAATATTTTTAGCTGTATTTGTGGTCTCTGTATTTATATTTATGTTTAGCACTGTAATGTTTCAAAACAGTATAAAAGTGAATGGCATTCTATAGCAAGTAGAACAACATTTTAAAATAATAATAATAATAAATCTTGTGTTAACACTCTCTCTAACATCATGTATAAAGGTCACGTCCAGAGGACTATGGTTGAGTATTTAATAAAAACTGGATATTATTTTTAAAATTGACGGCTTGATTTCTGGAATTGAGAAAAGAAGACGTTTCGCAGGAGCGTGTGGATGTCCCTTTTTCTGTCTACCTGCTTTCTGTCTGCACCATTCTCGCCATGTTTACTCCAAAGTGAAACAGGGTGGTGGCAGAAAGAATTTGCTTCTGGCTGTTTATATGGGGGATCTTTCCTTTAAAATAAAATCTTGCCTGCACTAGACAGACACAGACACATATACAAATATTGTTTCGGGACACTTCTTTTTTCTCACTACACTACAGTGAAAACTGCATAATATATATATATATTTACATATCCATGTGATTTTTTTTTTAAAAAAAACCTTATTAGAATATCCCCCCCCCCCCCAAAGGGCAGGTAATATATTTCAGAATAAACGTGTCAGTTTATTAAAAAAAATAAAAATAGGAAACTCTTGAAATTGTTTTCTGATTATCAAAATTATAATTTTTTCTAAAATTTATTTTGAGGTTAGAAATGTTACAAAGGGGAGTTGTGGCGATTTTTAAAAAGTGTGCCAAGAAACCCTTGAAAAATGCAACTGACTCGACTTTAGTCTGTAATGTGTGCAATAATGTGAGATTGCGGCTTTAGGTCAGGACTAACATGGATGCTCAGCTCAGAGAGCCAGATGCAAACGTCTGGGATCCAAGCCCTCAGCTCTAAATACAGACATTTCCTAAGGGGGCTTCCCTTCTCTTTAACGCTTGGAATAAAACAAAAGCCCCGAAGTGTCCTTGGAAACCCATGGCGAGGCGATTCGCTCCCTCTTCTTGTGTCCAAAACCCATTCCGAGGATTTAATAACATCCCCAGCCATCTCCAAAGCTTTGAACAATTCCTACAGAGATCACACATATTTTTAAAACTGAAATATATGTCTATCGGAAAGCAAATTGTGTGTTATGTCTCTGTGTAATTTAACATTTCTGAGCCTGTTTACGAATGGCCCTCTACCCTGAGAGATCCAAACCTTAAAATAAGCATGCTAACAGGAACAAAAAAAAGGTTGCATGATTTGTTTGTATTTTAAAAAGGTATCCAATTAAATAAAAACACAATACCTGTAGTATTTAAACCACCATAAAATGAGAAGAGAAATAAAGTCTTATTCTGACCCGGTTATTAAAGTGATTATGATGTTGTTATTATTATTATTATTATTATTATTATTATTATTATTATAATATATGTGTGCGTGTGTATACACACATACATACATACATGCATACACATACACATAGGTTGTGGTTCTATACCTATTCAGTTTCATTGGACTCAATGAGACTTATTTACTCTCTCTCTCTCTCTCTCTCTCTCTCTCTCTCTCTCTCTATCTATCTATCTATCTATCTATCCATCCATCTATATATATATATTTACTCTCTCTATATCTATCTATCTATCTATCTATCTATCTATCTATCTATCTATCTATCTTTACTCTCTCTCTCTCTCTCTCTCTATATATATATATATATAGAGAGAGAGAGAGAGAGAGAGAGAGTAAATAAGTCTCATTGAGTCCAATGAAACTGAATAGGTATAGAACCACAACCTTAGTAAAGAAGGCATGTTTTCTTATGTTCCCAGCTATATTTCCCTAACACTCAGGAAGAGCTGGATTTATTCTGTAGGAAATCCCCGCAGAACCAGCTCCATGTTTGCAACAAGCAAACTGCAATAAGCCAGGAAGTTGGAAGTTAGTACATACTTTTACCTGCTGGAAAGCTCCAGGGGCTTTTAAAAGAGGCTTCTCACGTGCTTCCACACTCAAACACACATATCCATAGGCAGAATCAAAAGCAAGGTGAATGTTTATGCATTCACCCGAGGTACAAGGGTGATTTATGGAGAGCCTGAGCTGATTCACAACCTCCACTGCACACACACACACACAGGGAAATATCAGCTCTGAAAGACACTGCACAGGAGGTATACAAAGACATATGCAAAGAAGAAGAGATGCTACAGCATCTGCTGAGGGTGTCTCAACAGAACAACAGTCCCATTCCATGTCAACAAAGCAGTCCATGCGTGAATGTACACAAAACACATGAACTGAGATAAAAATTCAGAAATATATATATAATATCCCATGTTTACCTACATTAGTGTGTGTGTGTGTGTGTGTGTGTGTGAATTATTATACTGAGGACACTAGAAGTGTTCCTTAGTTGTGTTCCATGTGGATGTAAGGCTTAGGCATGTATGATGAGAGGCCTTGTGTGTTATCACGAAATCCATCCAAGAGGCTTATATTGGACTGATCTCTGCACACACACACACACACACACATGTGCAGAAGAACAGGATTTCAGTAACAGAGTGCTACCTTGGAGGAAATATAATTACCTTGGAGGAAATGTAATTACTACATGCGTATGAAGCCTGAGGCCTTGTTGTATACCATCCTACATCAAAGGCATATTTTCCGCCCTCTGGCCAGGAAACCATCCCTAGTCTTCCTCTCCTTCCATCCCTGAGAGGCCTTAGGGGCGGCTGTGCACCTCCTTTCCCACCCACCAGCCTGGAGCGTGAGTAGAGGGGTAGTATTTTACGAGGCGCCATACCCTCGACTCAGCACCAGGTGACGCTGTAGTCTCATTGTCTCGGTGTTTGGAGTGTGGGGCCTTTTCTTCCCCCGTTATGCCAACATTTCACATACGTTTCACGGGCTTCCATCAATAACCTCCTGGGGTCATCAAGCCAAATTTATGACTGGCCAACACCGTCACGTGATTCTATTTAAACATCCCATATTTGGGCAGCGCACATAGAATAAAGAAAAGAAGAATCCCCACCTATAAATTCTGCACTTTGGAGAACAAAAAACCCTGAACTTCAAAAGGGCCACAAATCAAGCCTAATCAAAGGGGTGTGAGAGAGGGAGAGGGAAAGAGAGAGAGAGAGAAAGAGAAACTGTGGGGTGGGGTGGGGGGGAAATATAATTCCTGACATGAGTTCCTACGTAGCCAACTCCTTCTATAAGCAAAATCAAAATGTTCCTGCGTATTCCATGCAAAGTTATGGGAATTATGGATCTGTGTCTGAGATTCAGCCATCCAGGTATTGCTACAGTGGGCTGGATCTGAGCATTACATTCCCTCCATCTGGGGCTTCCAACTCTCTCAACGGTGTGGACATGTCTTCAAACCCCAGACCTAACCCCGAGCGACCTTCTTGTACAGTCATGGGATCTTCAGGGCACACTTTAGGCAGAGACGACCAAGCTTCTCTGAACCCAGGAATTTACAGTCAGAAAGCTGGTGGCAACAGCAGCAGCACCAACAGCCACCCCAACAACCCCAACACGCCGTTGGAAGATAGATCTAAGAGCAGTGGGGAAATCAAGAGTGAGCCGGTGCAAACAGCCCAGCAAAGCGGGCAGTCCCTGCAGCAGCCACAGCACCACCAACACCAACAACAACACCACCAACACCACCACCATCAACAGCAGCAGCAGCAGCAGCAACAACAACAACAGCAGCCACCGCAAATATATCCGTGGATGACCAAACTACACATGAGCCACGGTAAACTTTCGCTTCTCGATTTTGTTTCACAGGATTTGCCTGGGTTTTATAGGCCATACGGGGCAAATAATAAGGGGGAAAAAAACCTGGGGTCGTAAATTTTACGACTAAGGCATCAATTGCTCGTAAAACTGTCCACTAAAAGGCTTAGAGGCTATAGACGCCCAAATTTATGACGGCATAATTGGATCATAGAAACAAAACGGGTATAAAGGCAATATTCCATTTTTGGGGGAGAGAGTGGGGGAGAAGGAAAAAGATTTTGAAGGGGGAGAACAGACTTGGAAACCCGCAGAAGGTTTAATAGGAAGGAGCTGGGGGTTTGTGTTGGGGATTGGCTTTTTTATCGTTCCCCACCCCTAGACCTTTCCACTTCCTCCCCTGAAACCATGACTTTGCCTCTCTCCCAACCTAGGAAATGGATAAAATTTCCCTTCTTTAAGTACACTTTCCCAGGGTGGAAGTGGACATACTTTTTCAGTGACTAACCTTCGCTTGATCTCAAAACTTTAATATGTATATACATATATATGTGTGTATATATGTGTGTGTTTATATATATATATATATATACACACACACACACACACACATATATACATGTGTATATACATATATGTGTGTCTATATATATATACATATATATGTGTATATATATGTGTGTGTATATATACATATATCTCTGTGTGTACATGTATATGTGTGTATATATACACACATATACATGTATATGCACATGTGTATATATATATACACACACATATATATGTGTATATACATATACATATATATGTGTGTGTGTGTATGTGTGTATATATGCATATATCTGTGTGTACATGTATATGTGTATATATATATATGTGTGTGTATATACATATATCTCTGTGTGTACATGTATATGTGGGTATATACACACATATACATGTATATACACATGTGTATATATACATATATGTGTATATACATATACATATATGTGTGTATGTGTATGTGTGTATATATACATATATCTATCTGTGTGTACATGTATATGTGTATATATGTGTGTGTATACACAGAAATACATGTGTATACATATATATGTGTATATACGTGTATATATACATCTACATATATATGTGTGTATATATATATACATATATATGTATATGTGTGTGTGGGTATAAGTATGGGTAGGAAGAAAAAAGGTTCTGTTACTTTCCTATATTTTGTTCTCTGTTTCCCCTTATTTCAGGATAGTTGTTACTTATGTTGTTGCTGTTGGCATTATTATTATTATTATTTGCTGCTTTTACGATTAGATTTTTTTTATCACATGTCTTTTATATTCCAGAAGCAGATGGCAAACGCTCCAGAACCAGCTACACTCGTTACCAAACTCTGGAACTAGAAAAAGAGTTCCATTTTAACAGATATCTCACCCGCCGGCGGCGCATAGAGATCGCCAACAACCTCTGTCTGAATGAGAGGCAGATCAAAATATGGTTTCAAAACCGGAGGATGAAATGGAAGAAAGATTCCAAATTGAAAAGCAAAGAATCCCTCTAGGTAGAACCGCCTGGGTTTAGGCTGGGAATAGGGGAAAGGGGAGGGGGGAGGGAAAGAGAGTCCTTTCACTTTGAAGCAGAGTGTTTGGGGGTAAGCCTACCTTGAGAAAACTTTCTCTTTGGGAAGTGGGGAGAGGGAAGGGGCGGGAGGGGCGGGTTGCAGACTGGACTGAACCTCGTATTCTTGCAAATCTGTCAGACAAAGGCGTTCTCCGATTAGTATGCAAAGAGACCCTGGTCTTTAGCTCCTAGCAGGACTCAATATAAAGTTCTCTGGAGTTTTCTTCAACTCCCCCCCCCCTTTTCTATCAAATTGGGAGGAAATATCAGAGCCAGCCCTATAATTAGCGAAGACATAAAGTCCTTAAATATGAGAAGGATGATGAGAATCATAAGGAAAGATCTCAGTTGAGGAAGGAATCCGCTCAGTTGTGACTTTTCCCAAGTGCTAAGGCCCCAATCCTATAGGCAGAACTTGGAAAGAAAATCTGGAGACTTTGCCTCCAGGAATCCAGTGTGGGGGAAATACACACTTATTTATAACTGGGCAACTTAGTATCCGTAAAAGGTCCCTGGGATCCACCTTCTAGCTATGAGACTATGTTTCCTTTTTGGTGGGGATTGAAAGTTTTCCCATCTTGCAGGATCCTAGTTGCACTAAACCTGAAACGCTGGGGAGAAATGCTTGCTCTGAAATGTGTTAATATCTTGGGGTGGGGAGGGGGGTGTTTCGTTTTCTTATTCAACTCCTCCTCCCCATTGACTTATTTTTGTATTATTTGCATATGAAAGAAAAGTGAATGGACTATCCTTTCGCGTCTCTCCCGGGAGATAAGTTGTGCTAAATATTAAAACACTGTTGGGAAATGGGTGGGCAATGAAGTAAAGGAAAAGAAAAAAAAGTGCGAATTATCTTGACTTAAATATTTCTGTGTATTTATTTGTTGCGTAACTAATGTAGCTTGGAGGGAAATGGCTGAACTCTTATACAGATTGTACACTTCTGGTTTACATGTAGTCCATTTGAAGTCACGTCCCCACTTCCTTCTCCCCCTCTGTTGTACTGCATATATTTATTGGTTGTAATATCATATGTGAAAGACCATGGAACATATCTATTTTGTCATATTGAATAAAGGCTAAAGATACTTCACCAGCTAAAGACCAAGTTTGGGGTGCGGGCGACAGAGGAAAAACTTCTGCCAAGGTGACTTCTCTATCTAGTCTTGGCTTCTCTCTAACTTCTCTTTGACTACGTGTTGTGGAAGGCTTTCATTGCGGAATCACTGGGTCTCACTCGGTTTCCATAAATACCAGGTGCTCCCAGGTTTTTTAAAAGAGCAAGATTCCACTAAACTCGAGACAGGATCCATCCAAACCGAAACACTTCGGAGTCCTATTGATTTCAATGACAGGGTTGGAATCCATCAATTGGTTTCAACCTTGAGGAACCTCAAATCTCCTGTGGCAATCAAAACATCCTGCTTTGGATGGATTGGATGGCCCCCTAGATGTAAAATTAGGGCCCTATGCAGACCAATAAGTCTGAAACTTCTTTCCTGAAGCACAAGCTGAAAGCAATCACTATTCACTAGGGAACAAACAACCATTTTTAGGCAAAGGTTCCCCTAGAAATCATTTTAAACCTTGGGTATGGGCTGGATTTGAAGTTGTATCCAGTTCCTGCTGTGTTCAGAAGGAAAGGAATATTGTGAGATGCTGCCTACTGAATTCCTGTTCTCTTCTCCAGTTTGTACCTAACTCAAAGTGTTGGGGCTGTTCTTGAATTGTTCAAATATTTTCATAAATATGACCCTGAGTTCTTCAGAAATCCTCCAGATTGCCAGTAGCTTCTTTCCCTGATCTTTTTTTGGTTCCTCCTTCCCCGTTTACTACAACGTAAAGAGTCCAGATGCTCCACTTTCTAGATCTAGTTGAACGAATCAATGGGACCAGCTCTCTCTTTGCTCTAAGAGAACCTCAAGGGTTTGGTTTTATTGTGTTGTGGAAGATGTGCAAAGAAACCTGAACAATTGGTGAAATGTGGAAAATGTGGTTGAAAGTAGTAGCGCGTGGGCAATAGATGGGAATCCAAGATGGGGCTGGAGGGGAAATGGTAGGCTTCAATTCCACCCAGTTGGGATGCATCAGACTTTCACTTGGATAGTTTATTAAGCCGATCCCTCATAGGGTTTTATTGGGCAAGGAATACTCAAAGGTGGACTAGGAAAGACAAAAGGCGTCAAAATCTTTTTTTTTTTTGGGGGGGGGGGGGGGGAATGAACTGTCTGTATTTGAGGTGGATGTCTAAAGGCTTTCCTCCCCTGTGTGGGTCTGTGGTTTTGTTGCTGTTGTTGGTGGTGGAGGTGTTGTATCCGATTATGTAGAAGTTTAATTAGAATTGGGATAAAGCAGTGGAAGCCTCAGATGATTTGGAAATTTTATATATTCATTTTATATATGTTGTCGAAGGCTTTCATGGTCGGAATTACTGGGTTTCTGTGAGTTTTCCGGGTTGTATGGCTATGTTCCAGAAGCATTCTCTTCTGACGTTTCAACCACTTATGGAACATAGTCATACAGCCCGGAAAACTCACAGTAGCCTACTGTATACATATGTTTCTTATGTGTCTATGTTTCACTTCAATATATACTCAAACATCTCTGTATTGTCGAAGGCTTTCATGGCCGGAATCACTGGGTTGTTGTAGGTTTTTTTCGGGTTATATGCCCATGTTCTAGAGGCATTCTCTCTTGATGTTTTGCCTGCATCTATGGCAAGCATCCTCGGAGATTGTGAGGACCTCTGAGGATGCTTGCAACACATGCAGGCGAAATGTCAGGAGAAAAGGCCTCTAGAACATGGCATATAGCCCGAAAAATCCTCCAACAACCCACTCAAACATTTCTCTCCCTTGCTCTTCCTCCCTCTCTCTGTCTCTCTCCCACAAACCGGAGGTCACGCCTGATGTGTCTTCTGAACTATTTACAGTACAAACAAATGCTTGAGAAGTGGCGAGGAGGGGGCTCAATAGCTCAATAAACCTTTACAGTATTTCCTTTGCTCCTTTCAAACAATGCAGCAATTTCCTGAATCTGGGAACAAAAGTTACTTTCTAATGATTCTGGGAGCGTTTTAAGAGCTGAACTGCTCAACCTGCTATGATTTTTCTTCTTTATTTTTTTTTTAAAAACCCAAATACTCTTTCTGTGCTTTATTGTATTAGTACAAGTATCCTTATTGACAGAAGTCTTTCGGAAGATCAAAATAATTGTCATCATGATGTCGACCCACAATTTCGCTTGATCCCTTTTAGTCCTCCTGAATATTCGTCTGCGACTTCCTTGCTTCACTTGCCCTTTGATGCCATTTTACACTGATCTCAACTCGAAAATGTCAAAGGGGATGAAAACGCTGAGATTCCCAGAACAAATATATAAGGAAAGAGCCCAAACAGGACCATTTAAAGTCCAAAATAGCTTTAAAAAACCTTTGAAGACTGCCCTCCCGGAGAAAGAGGGGTATTTACTTCTGCATGGAGGCAAAGTGGGTAGAGTGATTTCCCCCAAGCGTTGTTGGGTTTACATTGTTTTGCTCCAGTCTGTATGAAAGGCTTTCCCCCCTCTCCTCGGCCTTTTCCACACAGTGGAATAAAACCCCACAATATCTGCTTTGAATTGGGATATAGGGCAGTATGGACTCAGATAACCCAGTTGAAAGCAGATATTGTAGGATTTTCTGCCTTGATATTCTGGGATATAGGACAGTGTGGAAGGGCCCTGGGTAGACCTGGGTAAGAGATTTTCATCAAGGGTTGTTGGGTTTGCATTGGTTTCGTTCCACTCTGTCTGAAAGGCATTTTGCCCCCTCCTCCTTATCTCCTCCACTCTGTTCTTCCCCCATTCCCTAAACCCTGGTATTCCCTTTCCCTTCAGTCGGAAGTCGACCAAAAAAATAATAATCGGACTTGACAGGTTATGGTTCTCCAAATCAGAAGCACTCTTGCGTGATTGGGAGGGGGGGGGGGCGGTGGAAAGAGGAGAAAGAAGGACGCCTTCTTTAAAACGCGCAATAACCCAAACTTTTCTATTACCATAACGCGAACCAGCAGGTCTATCCAGGCTTATGATTAATCATTCGTTTATCCAGCGACCAACGTGGGTCTATTTGGGCCTCTTTGCTGTCTTTTCAAAAAGTAATTTTTCAGGACTGATTAATATTTGGTTGTTGGGCTTGTCGTTGACTTTTGCTATTCAGGACCCCCTCCTCCCCTCCCTCCTCCCTCCTTCTTCCACCCCCCCTCCTTTCCTTTCAGCCCCTTTTGCCTAAAGAAACCTCGCAAAAAACCGAGAAGGAAATGAAACATCGCTTACCTTTCACTGTCATCCGTGTCAACACAGGGGGGACTTTTAAAAGGCCTCCAAACAAGAAAGGAAGGGAGAAGGGGGCAAAGTGTGTGTGTGTATGCATGCTTAAAGGGGGGGGGGGGGGAATTCGGAGGGAGGGGAAGGAAAAAAAAAGAATAACAACAACAACAACAATAACAATGCTCGTAATCCAGGATGTCTTTGAGGCCCCCGCCTTTACGTTGCTTGAGCACATTAGCCGAAATACCCATGGCTTCTAAGTGAATTTAGTAGTTTAAAACTTTTGAAGGTTATTTATGTGGATAGCCCCAAGCAAAAGCCGTGAATGGCTCCCGGTGAGCACGTGATGTCATTAAACTAAGTTTTATGGTTTGGGGGAGCTGACATACCCACAATATATTTACATCATATATAATCTTAACTGTCCACCATCGCAGCTGCTGGAGCTGTTTAATGCTGGGACAGGGGGACAAGGCAGTTAGTGCGGATTACGACGGCTCAGGCTGCTGGTGGGGAAGGGACAGCTTCTCAAATGGATCCCAGGCGAGATCAGTAAGTTAATTTCCCTCTTCTTATTTTTTTCCCAGTTTCTCTCCCTCCCCCCTCCGCCTTTCCTAACGCGGTCTCCTGTTTTGTAGTTGTGCGAGTGGGAATCCCTTTGGGGTGAAAGTGTGGGGTTGAGAAGTCTTTTCCTACCCACCCCTTGTAGCGTTTGCATTTGGGGGAAGTGTGCTTATCAGGAAGCCACATCTCAGTCCTTGCTCCGGGGCTGGTTGGAAGAACAAGAGATGAGATAAGGACCCAGAGCCGATTAGACCAGTTTGGCAAAGCTCGCTCCATTCTCTCGACCTCTCTGCAAACCTTTGATGCTTGACCTGGCCGGGCGGTGCGTTGTCCTTTTGGGGGGTTGCTTTTGGAGGCGCGCGTTTGTGTGTGTACCTGTGCACAAAAGAGGAGGGCAAGGCTTCCATCTAAACAGCAACTCGGGTCAAAAAGTTTCGCCTTCCACTTTGGCGTCGCCTTGAGAGAAACTTGTTCACTCTTACCAACGACCTGAGTTGCTTTCAAGGTGGAAGGGAGAGATTGAGAAGGAGATGGCTTGAGTAAAGGGGACGTGCGCGGAAGTTTAAGATATTTCCTTAAAAAAACAAAGTTGTGCTCGTGCTGGCAGGTGGGGCAACATAAGATTCCGCCGAGGAGGGAGGCCTAAAGAGACTGACGCTTTCAGTGGCTGGAAAAGAGAAAGGGTGTCTCACTTTCAGTCTTGCCTTCAGAGGTTGTCAGAAATATTTTCCTGTCCGCCTGGCACAGTGCTCTGTCCAAGGGAAAGATATTAGTGGCAAGATCTAATCGTGCACTGAGGGCCCTTCCACACAGCCATATAATCCAGAATATCAAGGCAGAAAACCCCACAATATCTGTTTTGAAATGGAATGTATTGCACTGTGGACTCAGGGCCCTTCCACATAGCCATATACCCCAGAATATCAAGGCAAAAAATCCCACAATATCTGCTTTGAACTGGAATATATGGCAGACTCGGGGCCCTTCCACACAGCCATATAACCCAGAATATCAAGGCAGAAAATCCCACAATATCTGCTTTGAACTGGGATATATGGCAGATTCAGGGCCCTTCCAAACAGCCATATACCCCAGAATATCAAGGCAGAAAATCCCACAATATCTGTTTTGAAATGGAATATATGGCACTGTGGACTCAGGGCCCTTCCACACAGCCATATAACCCAGAATATTCAGGCAAAAAATCCCACAATATCTGCTTTGAACTGGCTTATCTGAGTCCACACTGCCAAATATCCCAGTTCAAAGCAGATAATGTGGGATTTTATTAAGCTGTGTGGAAGGGGCCTAAGCTTCAAGGATACATTGGAGGTCATATTGGGTAGTGGTGATCTTCTCATAGATGCTTGTTCTGCCCTCAATTTACCCCAGTCTGTTACATTCTTTTAATGGTAGCAATTCACGCAAATGACAAGGAGAGCCCCCACATAAGGCCGAGCAAAATTGTCTTCCGAGAGTAAAGTCTTGGCGGGTGTAAAGTCTTGGCGGGTGAATGTGGATCCCCAAGTTTTTTCACAATGAGGGCATTGATTTCCAGGTGGAAGGCATTGTGAGGAGGCCCACACAATAAAAGCTATCATATATTGGTCGACTGTGGAACTTGGCGCTCAGGACATCCACTGCCTAAGAGATCCTTGGCATAGCCTATCAGAAAATTCTTTGCGTTCTTTGTTGGCAAGACGACCTGATTTATATCAATCCTATCCCATGGTTTTCTTACCTAGGGCCCCTCCACACAGTCACATAACCCAGAATATAAAGACAGAAAATCCCACAATATCTGCTTTTAACTGTGTTATCTGAGTCTACACTGCCATATATTCCAGTTCAAAGTAGAAATGTGGGTTTTTATTCAGCTGTGTGGAATGGCCTAAGATATATCCAATAGTCTTTCTTCAATGCTGAGAGAATGTTACTTACCCAAGTTTTGGGAGGTTTCCATGGTATAGGGGGGATTCAACCTCAGGCCTTCCAGAATCTTGGTCTGACTCTCAAACCACTAACACCAGACTGGCTCTTTCAGATGAATTTGCACCCAAATAAATCAGCTTCTCAAACTACTAGTGTGGTGTCCCTGCACACATTCCCCATCATTTCCCATAGAAAGGCACTGGAGTTCAGGCCTTGTTTGTTTGCTTTCTACCTCAATAGTAGCCTGAACAACGCAAAAATCTCAACTGACTTAGACTAAAGAGCAGGGGAAGGAAAGAATCCTCGACAGTTCGTGATTGGGGGACGGAGAACTCCACTGTATTTCAAAACCATGTGTGAACAAAACCATGCCCATCATCACAATGAACAAAAATCTAGAGCAGAAATATAATTCCAGTTTCCTGGCCCATCTTTCCTCTGCCCCACCCCGTGACCTCTTTCTCAAGGTGTCTTACTTCTCGCTCTGTTGCTGTTTCTAGAAAACCTCCACTGATGTCTTGTCCTACACTGGTAGGGTTGTCAGCATCTCCAGAACAGCCAGAAGGACCCCTGTTTTGGGGGACCCTTTGAAGGGGGTGCTTTTGGTTACACAGATTTGTGGTGTTGCTACGAGGACTCACTTGCGAAGGTTGAAGTGGAGAGCAGACACTTCCAATGGGATGGGACGAAGATGTGTGTGTTTATGTGTGTGTCAAGAGGCAGGGTGGAGGAGGCTCTGGACAGCATTTGCCAAAAATCCCTGGAGGAAGTTGAGGACATGGGAAGTGTTTCAACCTCTTTGTTTAGGGAGTTGTCTCTGTGAGGAGAACAAACCTTCAAATGGGATTACACCTTCCTTTGATGTATTCAAAATGGAGCAAGGTTCTGCCAGACGTGTAAACCACATGAAAGGAAAAGGAGAGGAAAGACATCCCTTCCTCCCCTTTTCTGCCCTCCTTTCCCCTCCATTCACTGTCCTGCATAAACAACTAGGGATGTCCCCTTGGTCCCTGCGCTGGATTCCATAGCCATTACTGGGGAATACCTCTCACTATCCTTCGTTTTCCTTTGGAAGAGTGTGACTATCAAATTTTACTCTAGAAGGATGCCCAATAGGCTGCTTGTAAGAAGGAAAGGCAGTTGCGCTGCTGGTTAGGCCGCTCTCTATTCGACCCTCAGAGAAACAGAGAAATTGATGTTGGGGGATTGAGGAGACAATTTCGCTTCCTAAAAACTGGCAATCTCTTCCTTCTGACCAGCTTTCAGAATTTTCATCTCAGAGAATAAGAGTCTAAGGATGACTGAGTGACTTTTCCTGGTAAGCCCTCCAGATCAGATGCCTTTCCCCAGTTTAGTATGCACTATAGTGACTAGAGATGATGGGAAGTGTATTCTAAGGCATCTGGAGCACGTCAAGTTGTTTCACCACGAGGTCCCGCTATCCCAAAACACCTGAGTTTCTACTGTGTACTTCTTCTCAGCATAGGCCCATCTATACTGTCATACAAAATTCAGATTATCTGCTTTTAACTGAATCATATGGCAGTGTAGACTCATATAATCAAATTCAAAGCAGATAATGTGGGTGATCCTCTTTGACAATCTGGATCATATGGCAATTTTGAAGGGGCCATAGGCTGGGTAGTAGAATTCAGTAGTAACAGAATTCCTCAATTGCTTGTACACATGCAAGATTGGAAATTTGAAGGAATAAAAGCTTTACTGTGTTTCTTACTCTCCGTACTGAAATGACTTTTATGAGTTTAGCAGTAAAAGTGTGGGATACTTCCCTGTCATTCACAGTGCACTAAACCCCTCAAAGATGCACAATTGTTTTTGGGGATATCTCTTTTAAAAGAGCTAATCAAAACAAGAAGAACAAAACCAACACCGAGGCTTGCCAAGAACAGCTCCTGCAAAGTTTGCCTTAGGTTCACCATAAACCAAAACTACTTGAAGACACAAAACAACAAAACTGCCAATTGGAGTGTGTGCTGCTTCTGTTTGGGGACTACAACTAGCAGAATCCCAGATTGCTGAGGGATCCAGGAGTTGTCTTTCCCCAGAAGTTACCTTTCCCACCCCATGCACTTGTGTTTTTCACCAGATAACCCCCACCGACTTCCTTAGAATTTACCATGGGTATATGTTGACTCCAAAAAGACCTACTCAAAGAGCACAGAGCACCCCATAGTCATCTAACCTGATGCTGCTTATTCTATCAGCAACTATGGGGGATGATCTTTCTGCTGAAGTAATCGGGAACTTTTTGCCAACTTTTTGCTTTTTTACACCGAGAAGGCACAGAGTAGGCCTAGTAGAGCTTTGAAAGGGGAAAGAACTTTGCCTGTCCAAGGTAAGCTGGAGAAGCAAATGTCCTTACATATTGAACAACCATAGAGCTCAAGAGGATATAAATGCTAGGACAAGGGCATGTAAATATTTTACACATACAGGAAAAGGTAAAGGGGTCTCAAGTAAAGGCATCCTATGCCTCTTCAACATCTGGAGGCTATACAGGCCTAAGATCTTATAAGATATATCACAACTGCAATGACTTCTCAGAGGGAGGCAAAGGCAAATCCATTCTGAACAAATTATGTCTAGAAAACCCAT